ATTTATATGAGTCATGGATACTTGAAATAAAAACATTATTATTATTGTGTATTAAACACTGCCTCGCCTGGGAAGACGGCAGGACACACTCCGGCGAGGTGGGCAACAATCGGCCGGAGCGTTAGGGATTATTGGGAGAGAAACCGGCGAACTATACGGGCATTGTCGAGCAAGACTGCTTTTTGCATTTGGGCCACCACCGACTTTTTGTTGAGACCAAGCCTCTCGAGATGTTTTGAGAGGCTTTTAGGGACCAAACCATTCACCGACACAACTACCGGGATTATTTCTGTAGATACCCACCTTTTATTATTATTATTATATTCAATAATGGACGCCCTGCAAATAAAATTGTTTAAGCAGTCGTACCTACACATGCTATGCATGGCTTTTTAAGACCACCGTAGGAAGATAAGCGTACAGTGCCCTTGAGCGTCCTTTTATAAAACTAACCTCTCTGTTTTCGATATTAGTTGTAACCACTGCTCATGATTTCCATGGTTTTATGTCACATGGACAAAAGCCATATTCCCAATCTCTGTTCTGCCAGATTCAACTTTTTCATGGCACCTTATCTCTAATCGAGGGCGTTATTATCATTATTCCACCATGGTACCAACTCCAGTGTGCCAGTTTAATATAATTAAAACAGCTGCTTTTCTGTAATTACCAGGGCTTACAAACACCACGATCTATTCGAAGCCCGACAATGCTTAAAACCCAAACTTGTTACCATAAGATATACAATATTTAGTAATGATATTAGACGAATCCTTACTAAGCCGAAACTCGTGGCACCGCTAGCTAGCCTGTTGCCGCAATCTGGTTAGCATAAACACCGGATTATGGGTACATTCCTACTGTTTGTTTAAATTAGATTATTAATTGACTTTATTATTTCGTGGGTCTTTGGCTTGCTATTCAAAGAATATTATTTTTTTTTAGGTAAAACCGGACTTACGTATTAGTGCTTGGACAGAATTACCAATATCCTATATCTGTGTGTACCGGTTGTAGGCTATATTGTGGACTTGAATAAGTCAGCATCGCCGCGCGCCCTAAGAGCCTACACTACTACATTGCCAAGGTCAGGTAAGGATTTTTTGTTGTGGTCTTTTTGGGCAGACCAGTATTTGGCCCTTGGCACAATCAAACTACAAATGAAACGTCATTCTCATGTTTTAAGATGGCTCTACGGCCCTATGGCTAAACTTGGACTGCTCACGTTGTGAACCCTAAGCACTCTGCGTTAGCGAATTTAAGCCAAATTGGTAACAGGCTTTAAATTTGTTACTTTATTTGGCGATTGGTCAACTGAGAAATATAACTCACATCATCGTAGCTTGCAGCTACCTTGGACAAAGAATTAGTCTAGCTATTCAAAGGGGAACGCTGTCAGTATCTTCGGATACTTGCCTAAAGGGACTCCTTTTAATAATTACTATTATTATTATTGTTATTTTTTTAAGTTTTTAGTTTTAGGTTAATTGGTAGAGTTGATTGCAGCAATAGATTGTATATTTCCAATTAATTCAATATATTAATAAATAATGTAAGAACATTAAATTAAAAGTAACAGTCACATAATTCTGAAAAGTGACCTATGTAATATCAAAAACAAAAGTTCTTCAAGGATTATGTTGAATAGAGTATGAAGCAATATGACGTAGCTATCTGTGAGTAGGGAAGCCGACTTAAGCCCGGATAGACTCTGTCACCTCGTTCGTGTAGACCTCTCCCATTCCATGACAGGGCTGCTAAATCAGCAGGTTTAGTTTCTGGTAAATTCATGAACAACATTTCAGTGAAAAAGTCTCAAAGCATTACGATTTACGTGGTCACGGCCACGGCTTGAATCGTAATAAATAATTGTAAATAGACATGCTTTAACAAAAACCGACTTCAAATAGAAAAAAAAAGACATTCCAAAACAAATTATTATTAATATACACTAAAAACCATTATCATCGAAATCGGTTGGCGTGATATTGAGCTATTGAGTTATTCATCTATTTGTCGCGCACGTACTTAATGCAAATTTAAGACTTATATGGTTTTCTCATGGATACCACTATCAGAACTGGACTAAATTGAAATGGGACCACACGGGAAGCGTCAGCTTTTTAATAAAAAATAATCATCAAAATCGATTCACCCAATCAAAAGTTGTGAGGTAACAAACATAAAAAAAATACTTACAGTCGAATTGAGAACCTCCTCCTTTTTTTGAAGTCTGTTAAAAGTTAAAAATTAACAAATTGAACACGAGATGAACACGCGAAATCTTTATTTTAAATCGCGTCCCGAGTAATCCTTGTTCCCGCTGTTTTAATGGCCACAGAGTGTACGCTCAACTCATCAGTCGCCCGATCTATCTTTAATTGCATCCGAACGACTTTGTAACGATAAAAATCGTCGACGGACGACTCTTGTCAGCGGCTTTCACTGTCCGGCGAGGGTTTTATTAATTTCAACTGTTTAGCTTATCAGTCGATCCAAAGATAAGAAGTCACTTAACTCAGAGCGTTTTAGTGTTAAGTCGCTAGTATTTTAATGAGCAAGATAAGATATTACAAGTATCAGCGTATTTCTTAAGACTTTTAGTACGAGGACTTTCTCTTTTCTAGAATTGTCTTCTTTTGCATTTATATATTAAACTAGCAGACCCGGCCACACGTTGCTGTGGCTAAGGTTTTTGTTTCTAAATAGCACGTGGCCGGGTATACTAATACCAAAAATTCACTGGTGGTAGGACCTCTTGGGAGTCCGCACGGGTAGGTACCACCGCCGCGCCTATTTCCGCCGTGAAGCAGTAATGCGTTTCGGTTCGAAGGGCGGGGCAGCCGTTGTAACTATACTGAGACCGTAGAACTTATATCTCGAGGTGGGTGGCGCATTTACGTTGCAGATGTCTATGGGCTCCAGTAACCACTTAACATCAGGTGGGCTGTGAGCTCGTCCATCCATATAAGCAATAAAAAATAAATAAATAAAATGACAAAGTAAGAACAATTGGATTTCACTTTGAGTTTACTATGAAATAAATTTCACTTATACTTTAGCCTCAGCAACACGTGGTGTTTATGCCACTAAATTGTAGCTTATGTGAAACGTTGGTATTTTTAACACAGCGCCATCTATGAGATATTAATGTCAGACAGTATTACAATTGTCTGTAAAAACTGATTTAAGGCGCCATCTGTTTTAGACTTATGAAACTTACAATTAATAAAAATCAACATAAGAAATCATTTTATTGTTAATTAATAAATATTGCGACCATGAATCGAAATAAAAAGCATCCTATCTTTCAAGTTGGATCAAACTGCACACGGTGTGCAAATTTAATTTAAATTCGGTCAAGTAGTTTAGGAGTCCATCGCGGACAAACAACGTGACACGTGATTTATATATATTAAGATGATTTATATATATTAAGATTATTTCATTCATTAGTACGAGTGGTAGTGGTATTATGAGCCTGCAAGTGTAAGTCCATATCATGTGGCATTTTATTCTATGAAGCAGTCATGCATTCTGGTTCTAATCGTAGGACAATTGAATCTTCGATCTCATGCCCCCAGGTCGACTGCGGTAGCGACCCAAAAATATATTATGCTACCCAACCTTCAAATCTCCAATAACTTGCTGGAAATGGCTCAGTGCTCCTGATTGGTTCTCCATTTACTTTTTCTAAAACATGCAACCGATTTTGATACGGTTTTAATGATACAAAGACCTACTAAAATAAACCAGGAAGACCCTTGTTTGAGGATATTTTGGACAAAATGGCTGAATTATGACGAAGTTATGTTAAAAAAAGTATTTTTGCTCACTTATATGGCTAAACTTGGACAAGTCTTTACAGTCTTTAATGGTGGTAGGACCTCTCATGAGTCCGCATGGGTAGATACCACCACCCTGCCTATTTCTGCCGTGATGCAGTAATGCGTTTCGGTCTGAAGGGCGGGGCAGCCGTTGTAACTATACTGATACCTCAGAAATATCTCAAGGTGGGCGGCGCATTTACGTTGTAGATGTCTATGGGCTCTAGTAACCACTTAACACCAGGTGGGCTGTGAGCTCGTCCACCCATCTAATCAATAAAAATAAATAAATAAAAAAGAGTAGTCGGGAAGCTGCGGGCGGAAAAGTACTAAAAGATAATTTTTTATAAAAAAAATATCAATTTATATTTCATGAGCTATTTCTCAGAAGTACTTATTGGGAAATCACTTACATCCCACCCACGTTTCAATCAGCTTCTAGGACATTCATTTGAAGGTCAGTCCCGGGCCTAATTGGCTTCTGATTAGTTAGATGAACCGAAATCAATTGATATGTGTTTACCGGAGCCGTTGGGTGGTATCGTTAATTGGATTTCAAGTTTTTTTCGTATCTGACTCTTCTAGACAACGGCTTATTCTTGACCTTCGTGCCAATAGAGGCGACCGTAAACAAATTGAGGATTCTGTCATAATATTTTTGTGTATTTATAACTTAATATAAATTTCATTGCACCTACCACTATTCACTCTGCACTACCTTTGGTTGACCGGTAGAGAATGCCTTAGGCATTAAATCCGCCAATGTAAATTTTACATGCATGAAGAATTGTTGTCGTATGTAGTTTTTGAAATGCTTGCTGTTATAAGCATTATGTTATACATGTTTTTTTTTATTGCTTAGGTTGATGGACGAGCTCAAAACCAACCTGGTGTTAAGCGGTTACTGGAGCCCATAGACATATACAGCGTAAGTGCGCTACCCACCTTGAGATATAAATTCTAAGGTCTCAAATATAGTTACAACGGCTGCCCCACCTTTCAAACCGAAACGCATTACTGCTACACGGCAGAAATAGGCGGGGTGGTGGTGATACCTACCCGCGCGTACTCAAAAGAGGTCCTTCCACCAGTATAGTTTTTATTTTTATTCTCATCATACGCAATAGAAACATCAAATGTTGAATTCGAAAGATGAAATAATGGATATCAGACCTTTAATATCTTAAGATATGTCCTGACGTATTTGGGTGATGTGTTTCCGAACTTCTTGTACCTGTAACAGATAAAAACTTACTATAATTACATTTTATAATATTACTAGCTGACCCGGCAGACTTCGTGTGCCTCAATCGATAAATAAAAGACCTAAACTTTTGTATAAAATAAACTTAAAACAAACAAAAGGAATCCGTCCGACGGGGGACACGTCAAAGGAAAAACAAAATCGTTATTTTTATTTAATTCCGAACATTTTCATATTTATCTACCTTTTAAACCTTCTCGGGACTTATAAAAATAATTCAAGACCAAAATTAGCCAAATCGGTCCAACCGTTCTCGAGTTTTAGCGAGACTAACGAACAGCAATTCATTTATATATATACCTATATATAGATAATATTATTAAATTTTATTGGTAAAGGAAAAAATACATAGAGTGGCGAAAGGCTATTTGGTTTAAGCGACATTTCGCTTAAGACGCAACATTTATCTTTGCAATTAAAAGTGTGTTTTATTTGGTATTAACATCAAAAGTTCGATGTTTTTAATTGAACTTCAATTAACTCCAATGAAATAGCTGAAGAAGTTTTTTGGTTATAATATTTTTTTCCAATTTTTATACTTTAAATGGCTCTCCTGTAAAGTTGCAAAAATTGTCACTAAATTTAACCTTTCATCCCTCGATATATAGATTACTCAGACTTTGATTAGCAATACGATTATTATAATATTACATTCATTATAAATCAGTACAGAAACTAACCTATAACGATTCTTATCAGCCTTGCAAACCTTATAACACTTGTAGCGGTAGATAATATAGATAAATAATAGTTTAAAAAAACTAAAAAAATATGGCTTTTATACAAAATCCAACTAAAAAATAGAAAATAAATTTAAATTAATTTAAATCAAAATAGTGTAAGAAATAATGTAGTAGATAAGCTAAAACGGAGTCACGATCCTCAGCAATGAGGGAGCGATGGAGAAGAAGAAGAAGAAATAATGATTTTATTGTAAGAAAGCGTGGGGTGCTTTTCAGGATATTATCAAAATAACCCTTCTAATCATATCTGTTCATAAAATATTTATAACTACTGATACTACTGATACTACTGATACTGATACTGAACTATGTTATTGTTTTTTTTTAAAGTTTTTTATAAGGTACTTTCTTTTAAAAATCCTTTAGCTATTTCCGCAAAATATGTGAAAATAAACTCAGCACTAAAACAAACTTGCAGTGGGTACTAATGATTACGTTCCGAGCCTCACTAATGAGAGTCGCACACGTGCTGTTTTAGTAGTTCCATTGTGGTTGTTTCTAGTTCTACGATGTGTCTTGTACGTTATACGACAATAGTTTGCGTCTAAGGAACAGAAGTACGCGCAATGGCGGATTCAGGAGGGGGGTCATGGGGGTCATGACCACCCCCTGAGCTGGTTCCAGGATTTAGGTGGACCACTAATTGAATATAATGATTTTATTTATATATTTTGTCACCATACAGATTTTATGTAACTACATACCTTCAATATTTAATTAATTTAATATAATATAATAACTTTGTATAATGGCAAACGTCTGGGAACGAACGCATCTAAATTTGACTATATGACNGTCATGGGGGTCATGACCACCCCCTGAGCTGGTTCCAGGATTTAGGTGGACCACTAATTGAATATAATGATTTTATTTATATATTTTGTCACCATACAGATTTTATGTAACTACATACCTTCAATATTTAATTAATTTAATATAATATAATAACTTTGTATAATGGCAAACGTCTGGGAACGAACGCATCTAAATTTGACTATATGACGCCTGGCGCCAAAGCTGGATCCGCCCTTGAGTACGCGAACCTTTGTCAAAACTTAGGCGTCTTTAGATGATGAGCTGAATCTTACTGGCGGCAGAGCGTCTTGTGAGTACGCACGGGTAGGTTCCACCGCCCTGTCTATTTCTGCCGGGAAATAGTAATGCGTTTCGGCTTGAAGCAGCCGTTTACTGTAAAACTAAGACTTAGAACTCATGTCGCGAGGTGGTCGGTGGCATTTATATTATTGATGTCTATAGACTGCGGTAACCACTTAACATCATATAAGTCGTGACATCGTCCATCGATCTAAGTAACAACAAAAAAGATCTAACTAAAATCCGAATCAAGCTTTTCAACCAAAACTATAATATATATATATTCTTCTTCTTCTAGTCTTTATAAACGAATTATTATCAAATCTGTTTTCGTGGAGTGGAAATTATATGGAAATTATAAAAAAGAATCTCTTCTCCAAATTGAAACTTTTGTGTCGCTATTTCAGTAAGAGTCTTCTTATTCAGAATAAATTAATTATCGGAGCTTTATACGCCCGATGTAAGAAGACTATTACGATGTCATATGGTCTATTTTCTGGTTCACATTCTTACGTGCTCTAAGGAATTCGTTTCTATAATACTTAATTCTAAAATTGCTTTTAGCATCTCCGTTATCTGGAAGACGAGTGAGAAGTATTACTAAATTGGTTAGGACGAATGATTACGTTCCTAAAAAAAAAAAATAGAAATTTTTTTTAAGTAAGATCCTGTAAGTGATAAACCACAAAAAACCTGCAAAAACCACAGAAAGCGCTTGAAAGTTTAACGACACAAAAAAAACCGGTTAAAAGGCGAATTTCCATCAAAGTAAACACAGTTCTTCTAGCCTTTCTGTTCCTTTACAGCGAGGCTGCCTTCAAGAGATACTTCAGTTAGAAATAGGGTTAAGCGTTGCCTCTACAGGTGGATTGGGGACTTTGTACATTTTCCTCTAGTTATGAAACTTAGAGTGGGGTAAAACTGCTGCGTCCGGAAATTTCATAATTAGAATCTTTACCTCATTATTCTCGTCCACGTACTGTTATATCTATGTACTGAAACCCTAAAATGCTGATACCCTCGAACCGCTGGCTAGGCAGCTTAGTAGCTTAGTTAGTAGTAGGCAGCAGCTCGGCTCTGCCCCTGGCATTGCTGAAGTCCATGGGCGACGGTAAACACTCACCATCAGGTAGGCCGTGTGCTCGCCTAAAATGGCAATAAAAAAAATAGAAGGTCCGAGGTAGACTTTCGAGGAGACCGGAGAACAGTCAGTAGAGATTGAACTGTCTTACAGTACGGGTGCGGCTGCCAGGGTTGCTCTGAGAGTTATGTATATCACCCATATAGTATAAATCAAATAAAATAGTTCGTATCCTAAACGTTTCCTTTTTTAAAACGACATCAGAGTAAATTCCCATAACAATACCATCCAGTTTGGTAGATAGATCCTCACGATACAGCCTCGGCCTAGTGTGAGGAATATATAAAGACTATATTAGCGCATATTTTATTAACATATATCCAGTTTAAGATCAAAAAACAATAAAATACTTAATTGCGTTTTCTGTGATATAATAAGACAACAACATTTAAAGCCCTTTTAAAATTAATACTAAAACTGAAGTCTGTTTCCACTCAATGATAGACGAGAGATTCCGTCTTAGAAAAATCTTTTTTTAAAACAAAAGTATTTTAAAGGTTTTAAATATTAAAGGTTTTTTCTGTATATATTTTTTAAAAAAATCCTACGAACCTTGGATTATAATTTTGAACAGCAAAGCCCATTTGAAATATCCCAAGAGCCCGCGACAGCCAGACCTTCGTTATTTTATAAAAGCTGAAAGTTTCTCTGTGTATGTCTCCAACACAGGTAAGAACGACCCGCGATTATAGAGTTCCGATTGTGGTTACTTGGGCAGGTAACAGGCAGTAAAGGTATATAAAATAGTACCTTAAATTCGTTAAAGTATAAAGGTTGTTTTTTTAATNTCTGGACTAAATATTAAAAAAACAACCTTTATACTTTAACGAATTTAAGGTACTATTTTATATACCTTTACTGCCTGTTACCTGCCCAAGTAACCACAATCGGAACTCTATAATCGCGGGTCGTTCTTACCTGTGTTGGAGACATACACAGAGAAACTTTCAGCTTTTATAAAATAACGAAGGTCTGGCTGTCGCGGGCTCTTGCTCTAAAAGGATTATGTAACGGTCCAAGAACGCAGTCTGTGTTACGTCATCTAGAATGCATGTGCTCGAGATGCGAGCTGAATCGTAATAAACCAGTCCGTGAATTCCTGTAGCACAAGGCTTTTATTTGCTTTCTTTTATTGCACTGGATAGGCGAATACATACGACTCAATCAATAGAGAGCTCTGTCTCGTGACCATGTGATCTGAAGTTGGGAATGCATTGAAATAATTTGTAACTGGATCGCGCTATTGCTCCGTGATAGAAATTGTTTTATTTTTATTGCTTAGATGGGTGGACGAGCTCACAGCCCAGCTGGTGTTGAGCGGTTACTGGAGCCCATAGACATCTACGACGTAAATGCGCCACCCACCTTGAGATATAAGTTCTAAGGTCTCAGTATAGTTACAACGGCTGCCCCACCCTTCAAACCGAAACGCATTACTGCTTCACGGCAGAAATAGGCGGGGTGATGGTACCTACCCGTGCGGACTCACAAGAGGTCCTACCACCAGTAATTACGCAAACTATAATTTGCGGGTTCGATTTTTATTACACGATGTTATTCCTTCACCGTGGAAGTCAATCGAGAACATTTGTTGAGTACGTATTTTATTGACGGCGATTACAACAGATCTAATGACAGGATAGTTGCTAACTAACAAGGTGTTGCGAGAACCAAAGTTATGGACATAGCATAGTGGATTAGGAAGCTGAAGTGGCAATTGTCTGGCAATATTATCCGGACAACTGATAACGTTTTGGGTAAACATGTTCTTGAGTGGAGACTGCGAATTGGCAAATGCTGTACAGGAAATTTTAAGGCTGGGTGGCGTGACGATTATCCAGGATAAGAGCTAGGTGAAGAAGTCGAAGATTGCGCCCAGTGGCGTGCAATTTGAGAGGCCTTTGTCCAGGAGTGGGCTGCTATAGGCTGATGATGAAACTAACATTTATCTATAATAATATATTATATAATATACTAATAATATATACGTG